TTCGTTCTTCGGGGTCGTTCCGAATCAGGACGATACCAATATGATAACCATAAATGGTACCGATACCACGGTTATCAAATTGTCGCGGGTATTTTTAAAATAATCAACTTCGTATTTATACATATACAATATTATACAACTTAAAAAAAGGGTACTAATATTTATAATAATTTAAAAATCATTATTATCATAATAAATAATCATTATGTCATTAATCAGTTGTTCTTTGTTGATAACTGTCAGTATTGTGTGCAGTGGCTGAGTAGTGAGTAGTGATAGATGTATTTTACGTATTTAGTCTGTAATATCTAATTTGTGGGTTTTTTTTCTTATTTTGAATACATTTTAAAATGAAACGAAAATACAATGAAGAAGAATATAAACGCAGTGAGTATGAATATAATATTGAAGTTTACAGGCGAAAAATTCTTATAGTTTCATATATGTATCTTATTGATTCTTATAAACTTTGTTTGTCTAGGTAATATTATATAATTTAGTTTTACATTTCATATTTTAAAAAAAAAACCTTAATAATCAGTGTCGGTCTGACCTGCCCCACGATTACCGAGGTCCTTCTTGWAAWTTTTTGAAATATAAAATAACTTATAYCTCTTAATATCTAGATTATGGGGTCATATCATTAGTGAGATCAATACTGGAAGTCTGGAAATAATTATCTCCACTTGTAATTATTTTGTTTAGTCTTAGAAGATGGCACGTGAGGCCCGTTTTTAAAGAACGTTGCATCTATAGTCATTACAACACATTAATAAAAGAACGACGTCTAGTTCACTCTTTGTTGTATTTTAATTTTACACGGATGTCTCCCACAACTTTTGAAGAACTTGCCCAATTGGTCGGTCCAAGATTGGTGCGTGAAAGTTTTATGCACGACGTTCTTTCTGTTGGTGAAATTTTAGGGGCTACATTAAGGTATATAATATTAATAAACAAGTTATATTAGTTATAATAATAATAAAATCAAATGTCAGTTAATACATAATAATATCTATGCATAAACAAACATTTTTATATTTTGAAAAAATAGAATAACTTACTTATGTGGAACTTTGTTTAAAATTTTCAATCATCATTAGAAATAAAAGTTGAACATTTTACATTATTCTTTTTATAGATATTTAGCTACAGGTGAAAGTATGACAGATATTACCTATGCTTTTCGAATGGGTAAATCGACAGTATCTAAAATAATTGTAGAATGTTGTATTGCTATATGGGACATATTAAAAGACAAAGTAATAATTTATTTATTTAAAAGAATAAAGATTTTTTAAAACTATTTATGAGTTTTTATTAAAGTACAAACTTTATTTTTGAATTAGGTGTTAATTGAACAAAACACAAATGGATAGATGAAAATTTCAAAAGAGTTTGAAAGCAAATGGCAAATGCCTCATTGTGTCGGTGCTCTAGATGGCAAACATGTTATACATCAAGTAGGTTTACTTAAGKTTAAGTAAAACTTATTCGATTAAAAATTAAATTACACCTTTATAATAATGCTTTTATTTTATAGGCATTTCCTAATAGTGGCTCAACCAATTATAATTATAAAGGAAGCCATAGCACCATACTTTTGGCATTATGTGATGCCAACTATAATTTTACTTATGTTAATATCGGCATGCCTGGTAGGTGCAGTGATGGTGGTGTTTTAAAATCCTGCGAATTAGGCAAACAAATTTTAAACAATGGTTTAGGATTTCCTGAACCTTCTCCTATAAGTGAGAGTTTAGGAATTATACCTTACTTTATA